TTCTCTGTGTTGTGTGTGTGTGTGTGTGTGTGTGTGTGTGTGTGTGTGTGTGTGATGCTCCAAATGCCTCTGCATTCAGGGTCACCTTCAGGCCACCTTCACAGCATGTGTGCTGAGCAGAAGAGAAAATTAAGTTCAGAAGCTTCACGCAGCCATAAGAAAGACAGTAAGGCAGAGGACCCTGTGCCTCAGCACAGACAATCAGGGGGGCTGCCCCCCAGGTATGAGGTGGGGCTGTCCATCAGATGTGAGGGGGTGGGACTGCCCCTGAGGTGTGGGGGTAGGTGTAAGATTGGCCCTCAGGATTGAATTGGTATCGTCCTATAAATGAGGAGTGGTGGTGTCCTTCAGGTGGAGGATGAGGTTGTCTCTCAGGTAGGGAATGAGATTGATCCTTAAGACGAGTGGGTGTGAAACTGTCCCACAGGAAGGGGGTGGTGCTGCTCCTCAAGTGTGGGGGAAGACTGACCCTTCAGCAAGGGCTAGGCTGCCTCTCAGGTTGGAGGTGGTGAGATTGGCCCTCGGGATGGGGGTGAGACCTCCCTCAGCGAAGAGTGGGATTGTCCCGCACCATAGTGCAGACGTAGCTAAGGCCTCTAGCAGCCTAAAGCACTGAAAGAGGAGTTTTCTTTGTGGGTATGGGGAGCCCTGTGAAGGCGCTGCCTACCTGGGGGAGCAGGTCACTGAACGTCAAAAGAAGTGGAATCTGAAGGCTAAGGAAGGGACGGCCCTCCCAGTTACTGGAAGTGAGGAGACAGGAGTGCTTAGGGAGGAGGGATGGGTGGCTGCCAGGCCAGGAATGGAGTAAGAGAACAAAGTACTCGGAGGGACCAACTTTTAAACAAGAATGAGCTCTGATGAAGATGAAAAAGCAAAACCAACCCAGAGTTATGTTTGTCCTTCAAGTAGGTGTGAGAAGTAAGGCCGTCAGCTTTGAGAAGGCGCTTCCTCCTGTTTTCCAGGTGACTTTCTGCTGTCCCAGTCACACAGGAATTGAGGCTTTGTCACAGGGAGGGCTGCGCTGGTCAAATTGGAAGTAGAAAAGGCTTATGGTTTACAGCCTCGTGCTTGTCTGGCACCCACTCCAGGCACCCATCTCCTGCCCTTAGGCCCCCACCCCACAGAAGCTCTTACTTTGAACAGGACAAGGCCCTTGGACCTATCCTGGAGTTCTAGCTTCCAGTCTCCCAGCTGGTCCATCTGTCCTAGCTTAACCAACATCTGTCAACCTTCACCTCCCTGGTCGTAGTGAGGCATGTCACTGCCCTCTCCTGTCCAGATGGGCCCCTTCCCTTCATCCTAGCCTCCTGCAGTCACCTTTCCATACAGTAGTCAAGCTGATCCTTCCCCAGAGCTTGTCAAATGGGGACCATGTGCCCGTGTCTCAGAATGGGAGTCCAGGTTATCCATCTTACCCTCCTGGCTTACCCTAATTCTGAGGTCACCTCATGAGCCCCCTCAGTACTGACCTCATGAGTGAGCCCCCTCAGTGCTCACAGGACATTCCTGTCCCATTGGCCTCCTGGACACTCCTCTAACAAGGCAGGTGTGTTCCATCTGGGCCAATACTTCATCTCAGTCCTCAGCACCAGCTCTGTCCCTCTTCCTTCAGCTTCACTCAGATGTTACATTTCACAGTTGCTTAAAGCAACGCCCCCACCCTGCAGGCTCCAGCCCCCACCCAACCCCCGGGTCTCTGTATCATCCTTCCCGTACCATGGAGAGCAAGAGTCAGTAGTCAGTCCATCTGCCTGGCTGCTGTTTCCCTACGGAGAGGTACAGTGCCTAACACACAGTGGAGGCAACTGCTGTTTTATAAATGAATAATGCTCCTTTTCCCAAAAGTTCTCACTTTTTCTTTCCTTACAGAACATTTTGAAAACAAGTGGGAAAGCAGCATTAAGTGCTAGTCCCAGAAAAACGCAAGCTCCTCCAGACTGGGATGACAGTGCTGACAGGTAGGGCGAGGGACCCCAGGCTGTCAGGCTTTTCTCAGCACGCAGATGGCCTGGGATCATAAGGAATGGCTCAGACAAAAGTCAAGATCTGTTCCACTGCCCCAGGGTGGACTTCAAAATGTGCCTCTCAACACTGATGGAAAGAAGAGTGTTTTGTTATTATTATTATTAAATTTTAGCTGTATGAGTGTATTGTCTGTGCGTATGTAAGTGCATCCATGTCATGCAATGCCTGTGGAGGCCAGAAGAGGGTGTCCAAGCCCCTGGAACTGGAATTATGGATGGTTGTTAGCCGCCATATAGGTGCTGGGAACCAAACCTGGGACCTCTGCACAAGAAGCCAGTGCTCTCAACCACTGAGCAATCTGTCCATCCCCAAGAGCAGTATTTTTTTTTTAATCAGACCAGGTAGTATGATGAACTTAACCCTGAATGTTGAGAACCACATAGAGAGAGCAGACAAGAATCCTCTTGTCACTCTTATGCCACTATTGTCATAAGCACCCTGTGTTGGAAACACAGATGGACATGTTTGTGTCTTCCCACAATGTCAAAATTAACTGAGCAATAGCAATAAATTCACGAGCAAAGTTAGCTTTGTTGGCTGTGGTTTGCTAAGAAGTCCTGATTTCCTTGAGAGCTGGCTGAGGCAAATACAGGTTCTTTTGCATCAGTCTTACTTACTAATCTTAACTGTCACATCTCATATTGCACACCACACAGTAATTAGATCTCTCAGCCTGTGTATATGTAGGTTATAGTGTTGTACCCCATCCACTGGACCCCAAAAAGACCACCGAGGACCCAACACACCAAAATGCAAAAGCAAAGGTTTATGGTTTATTCGGGCTTAAGCTTGGGCTCTCAGACCTCACCAACTCAACGGATCCGTGCTGAGAGCCCAGAGTAAGGGAGAGTGGAGCCTTTT